TTGAGGAGCAAGAGAGAGAGGAGGGGCCAAGCAGCCCCTTTTATAGTAGGCAGGATTACCTGCCTGTTGCCAGGTAATTGTGGGGCGGAGCATACCTGGCTGTTGCCAGGTGACTCTGGAGGTGGAGTTTAACAGATTGCTAACATTTACTTTTTTTTTTAAGATTATTATGTATACAGCGGCCTGCCTGTATATATGCCTGCAGTCCAGAAGAGGGCACCAGATCTCATTACAGATGGCTATGAGCTATACCTTGTGGTTGCTGAAAATTAAACTCAGGACCTCTGGAAGAGCAGTCAGTGCTTTTAACTGCTGAGCCATCTCTCCAGCCCCCATTTACTTTTTTTTAAATCTCTAAAGAAAGTCACTTTATTATAAAATGGTTGCCTATTGACTGTACAAATTAGAGAACTTCACTGTGACATTTCACAGAGGCATTTAACCTATCCCAGCCTCCATGCTCCTGTCCCATCCCTCCATGCCTCCCACCCATCCCTAATGGTGGGGTGGAATATCGTTTTTTTTAAGTGTAACTATGAAGCAGTCTGAACTTGCTGTTACTTTAAGGCATCTCTCTTTTTTTTATATAACTAAAGAAATATTTATTTTATGTATATGCATCCACCGTAGCTATCTTCAGATACACCAGAAGAGGGCATTGGGTCCCAATGTGAGCCACACTGTGGTTGCTGGGAATTGAACTCAGGAACTCTGGAAGAACAGTCAGTGCTCTTAATCACTGAGCCATCTCCCCAGCCCAAGGCATGTCTTTTTTATTTTCTCCCCCTTTCAGAATTCTGGAATTGAGAAAGCATTTCTATTTGACGTGGTCAGTAAGATTTATATTGCAACCGACAGCACGCCGGTGGACATGCAGACATACGAGCTCGGCTGCGACATGATTGATGTGGTGATTGACATCTCTTGTATCTATGGGTAAGTAACATTCTTTTCTGTAGTCATTGGAGTGTTTGTTTTTAGACCCTCTTTGTTTGTTTTTATGCCTCTTTCCCCTTTTCTTTTCTTCCTTTCTCTCTCTCTCTCTCTCTCTCTCTCTCTCTCTCTCTCTCTCTCTTTCTCTTTCTTTTTGTATTTCGAAACAGGGTTTCTCTGTGTAGCCCTGGCTGTCCTGGAAGTCACTCTGTAGACCAGGCTGGCCTCGAACTCAGAAATCTACCTGCCTCTGCCTCTCAAGTGCTGGGATTAAAGGCATGTGCCACCACCACCTGGCTCTTTTATTTTGTTATCCCCTTTCCTGATTTCTCCTCCCCTAAACCCTCTATCCCATCTCCCCTCCCCCTGCTTCTATGAGGGTATTTATTCCCCCACCTACCCACTCCTGCCTCCCTACCCTCACATTCCCCCACACCATGGCATCGAGTCTTCACAGGACCAAGGGCCTATCCTCCCGTTGATGCCCGACAATATGATGCTACATATGTGATCCCTCCATGTGTATTCATTGGTTGGTGGTTTAGTCCCTGGGAGCTCTCAGGGGTCTGGTTGGTTGATATTATTGTTCTTCATATGGGGTTGTAAAACCCTTCAGCTCCTTCAGTCCTTTCTCTAACTCCTCCATTGGGGTCTCCATGCTCAGTCCAATGGTTGGCTGCGAGCATCCACCTCTGTATTTGTCAGGCTCTGGCAGAGCCTCTCAGGAGACAGCTATATCACGCTCCTGTCAGCATACACTTCTTGGCATCCACAATAGTGTCTGCGTTTGGTGACTGAATGTGGGATGGATCCCCAGGTGGGGCAGTCACAGGAGCAAATACGGAGACAAAGTGTGGAGCAGAGACTGAAGGAAAGGCCTATTTTCCATTCTTAAAACTATAGTCCTGCTGTCCTTCCCAGGGCTGGAGATGTATCCCAGTTATGCTCAAAGTCCTGAGATCAGTCCTCAGCACTGCAGAAAAAGGGAGAAGGGAGGGGGGAGACCACCTACCAGCTTTCCTCCTCATAGCTTCTGTGGAATTTTTGTATTTCACTTGACTTTTATACTTTTAAGCAGTGGAGGTCTATAAATAGGCCATTTAACATGACAATAATAAAAGTACGTGCTGAGCGAATTGTGATTTAAGTTTTGTTCTGTCTATCATGTAGTTTAATTCTCAGCTGTTCCATGGACAGGAACTATACTATACTTGTTTACAGATAAAGAAATGGACATTTCTAGGACATGCTTTTGCTGTCAGTAAGAAAAGGCTAGACTTCGAACCTTGGTCTAAATGATCCAGATCCTGATGCTGAAAATTCTGTACATAGTGCAGTCCAAGGGGTAAAAATAGATCCACGAGCCACCAAGAATGTTTCCATTATCCTGTTTGATACAGAAAATACCTACTCAGTATTTTTTAAAATTTGATGTTGATTATCTGGGTGGGCAGAGAATTATAAAACTGGGCAAAGGACTTCTGCCAGTTTTTATGTATTATGGCCTTAGCATTCAGAGAAACCAAACTCCTAAATGCTTAAGATAATATTATCGAGTGGAGAAAGTTGTATTGCTAAACATAGAAGCACTCTGCATGCCTGCGAGGTGCGGAGCACACTTGGACGGTCGGAGCGAGAGCAAGTCGTTCACTAACGTCAGCCTGTCGCTAGCTGTGCTTAGACCCTGTGTTTCACACATTTCTGTGTCACCCCACCTGACACTCTGCTCTGTCAGCCTCTACGAGTTTCAAGCTTTGCCATTTCTGTCTTCCACCAACTGAAAATTCTTTGCCTACCCAGTCAGGTTTTCTGTTAACAGTGTTACATAACTCGTGCACACGAAAACCCATGTGTTCACATAACATCCCTCCTAGACGGTAACAGTGAAAACACTGTTAGGCTTTTGATGTTCCTGCCCTGATAGATTCTAGAGCAATTGTACGTCATAATTTATTATTACCATCAGACATCTAGCTTTTTACGTTAGACCCTCCTCGAGAGTCCAACCCTGTGGTAGTCTGTTATTTTTAAGTGGATGGTCTTGAGTGAGACTTGGGAGCTGAGGAAGTCTGATTACTTACAGTCTCTATTGCTATGGTAACCATACAGTGAAGAACACGTTTTTAATGATATGTATGACATCATTATTATATCCTATGATAATTATGCATGAGTGGTGAGTTGTTTGGGTAGGTGATGTTAATCAGAGTTACTTTTACCCATTAAAGCAAACATGGAGAGAGACAGAGAGAGAGAGAGAGAGAGAGAGAGAGAGAGGGGGGGGGGGCGGGGCCAGAGAGAGTTTTTCTATGGTGAAATGCTAGTGTTTTGAGAACTCACAGGATTCAGGGAGAATTGCTGGTTAGCTTTATGTCAACTTGACTCAACTGAGAAAATAACTCCATAAGATGAGCTGTAGACAAGCCTATAGGGCATTTATTTTCTCTCTCTCTCTTTCCTTCCTTCTCTCCTTCCTTCCTTCCTTCCTTTTTCTTTTTTCTTTTTTTGGTGAGTTTTTTGTTTGTTTTTTATTTTTACAGTCAGGGTTTTTCTGTTTAGCCCTGGCTGTCCTGTATAGACCATGCTAGACTCAAACTCATAGAGATCCTCCTGCCTCCTCCTCCCAAGTACTGGGATCAAAGGCATACATGCAGCACCACTGCCTAGCTGGCCATTTTCTTAGTCTTTGATGTGGGAGGGCCCAGGCCTGTTTGAGTCCCTGTCCTGACTTACATTTTGATAATGAATGGGGATATGGAAGTGCAGACTGAATAAGCCTTTTCCTCCCCAAGTTGCTTTGGCCATGTGTTAGACCACAGCAGTAGTAACCCTGACTAAGACGCTCAGCTTACTGAAGCAGCTGTGAGCCAGCTCAGTTAACCTGCAAGGTAGGAGTTGGGGTGAGGGTCCTTGTAGGCAGCCCAGGAAGCAGGTGGCCTTGGGATACAAGGTCTTACTACCCTTTCAGGTGATTAGCTTAGGTGTTGCAGGGCTCTCTCAGCTATGGGTTCTGCAGAGCTAGCAGCTCAACATACTCACATGCCTGTGTATACAGATGCACACACACACACACACACCCCTTTGTGTGTTTTCATTGCTTGTAGGTGAGAAGGTGAGCTGTACAACCATTTTAGTTACAAAATTTCACAAATTTCTATTTGTAATTCTTTTGGTTTACTTGCCTGACCTACCTAAAGCCTGGGTTAGATCTCAACTAAAAACAAAAGCCAAGATGCCTTCATAGCCTTACTGTCTAGAGACAGCCACTGTTTGTACTTTTAGAAATTTTGTATTTTATGCTTTGTCGGCATGTATGTGTATGTACCCTGTGCATGCCTGGTACTCTCGGAGTTTAGAAGAGGGTTGTTGGGTCCCCTGGAACTGGAGTTTCTGATGGTTGTGAGCCCCCATGTGGATGCTGGGAACGAAACCTCAGTCCTTAGAAAGAGTAAGTGTCCTGAACTGCTGAGTCCGTTTCTCAGCCTCATTGTTTACATTCCTATAGACTGCATTTTTACTTCTGTTTGTAATTCTTAAGAGTAATGAGATCACTATCAATAATGTCATATTTTGTCCCCCCACCTCTAGCCCTTTTTACTAAGGGCAGCAAGATTAAAGCGTAAGCTTTGATGTTTACCATATTTAGATTTTAGATTCTGGTTTACCTGTGTCATGAACTTTGCTCAAGTTGTTGTTGTTGTCCAGCTTACCTTTCCCCAGTATCTGTCTGGCTAAGAGGAGTTTTCTGGCAGCTAGTGTGTGCTCGTGAACTAAGTGAAGACGTAGAACTAAGTGTGGTCAGCTGCTTAGCTAGCACACGGTAATTTTTGGGAGAAATTGATAAGGTTTAGTGTAATTCCAGTTGAGTCAAATTTCTAGACACGTATTCATGAATTTGGGCAATACACTAGAAAATGTACATAGTTTCAGAGAAAGGGCAAAGATACTAAGACACCCTCTTTGAGGAACCAGTCACACCAGAGTCTTCAGTGGGTCCTGTTTTGATCCCTAAGGCTGTGATGTTCGCCTGCATTTTGCTTGTTCTCTCTAGTAGGAAACTTGGAAGTGTTGATTGTAACAGAGGAGGAAACCAAGGCCTCAGGTTACTTACCCTCTTCAAGCTGACATAGGAAACGGGTAGCTAGGCTCTGTCCCTGTAGGCCACACCTGAACATGCTGACTCTGCAGAAAATGAGTCCAAGTACACGAAGAACTCTGTGTCCTTTGTGGGGATTCCTGACCACGTGGACATACTGGCTCTTACTTTCCTCATATGCGTCTGTCATTGGTGTTTTGGCTGCACTGTTTGGATGTGAGTTCCAGATCTCCCGATTCTCTGTATTTTCCTGAGAGCAAGAATGTCTTTCTGCAGGACTACAGTTTAATCATCAAATAAGACAAAATCCAGCATGTCTAGCATACTCTGTTGTCTACTCTATACCCTACTCCAATTGTACCAGTGGTCCTGTGGGGCTTCTTTATTGTGGAGCTGGGAGGTGGATCCTAGGACCTCCTCTTTTTTCTTTTTCTGTCTGAGACAAGAGTTTCTCTGTGTAGACCAGACTGGCCTCAAAGTCAAGAGATCTGCCTCCCTCTAGCTGAGATTAAAGATGTGTGTCACCTCTGCCTCTTAATTCTGTTTTCTTGAGGTTTTTCCTCTGGCCCAGGTCAAGCCCAGCGTTTGCCTCTCCTGTCTATCTGGACTCTTTGGAAATCTTTTTGACCTTGCTTTTGGCAGCCTCATTGTTGTGACCTTGTCAAAACAAGGTACTGTTGGCTTTGGTGGGCTGAGAACTCTCCTCTCCCTCCACTTGTATTCCTTGGGTACCTAGAGTGTTGCCTGGTTGCCACAGTGACTGACAGAGTCACCTCTGTGTCTGTGCCCAAAGGTACTGCACATGCCTTACTAGGCATTTGATTTGACTGCAAATGTCTTATTAGGGTGATTGTTTTCTGTGTGTTGGGGGTGGGAGCAGTTGTCTGTCTCCAGGTTGCCATTTGTAGTTCTTTCTTGAAGGTCAGATACATTTTGGTATTTGTTTCCATTTAGCCTCAAAGAAGATGGAGCAGCCGCCCCATATGACAAGGACTCGACAGCCATTATAAAACTGAATAACACAACGGTTCTTTATTTAAAAGAGGTCACAAAGTTCTTGGCACTCGTTTGCTTTGTCAGAGAGGAAAGCTTTGAAAGAAAAGGTAAGTTTTGATGTGATTTAAAAGAATGGCCTCAATCCAGACTGCCTCTGTTGCCTGTTGAATTTGTGTGTAGACAGCAGATGCCCTCGAAGCCTCAACTTTAGTTATGTGGCCCATGATTGGCAGGCTTGAGACATGCCCTGCATGAGTGCGTATCTGGACCTGTCTATCCCCTAGATGTGCAGCCATGATTGGGATGAGGTGGCAGGAGAGCCAGAATCTTCCAGTGTTACCAGGCTGTTGCAGCAGGAAAGGATTTCTTAGCCTGTGCTGCTGGTTGAGGCCTGTGCCTGGGTCGCACAGAAGGTGTTAGATGAGATGTGTGACCATTGCTCTCCTGATTAAGGAAGCACTAGAGGTAGATGGCATTTGGCTTCTGCTTAGGATTCACATACCCCTGGAATAGCAGGGATGGTGCTGTGACCCACATAGTGAAGGAGCAACTGATACTTACTGACACCATCATGTAAGGGTCAAATCAGTTGTTGGTGATGGGTGTGAGTGTGTTTTTTTTTTTTTGGTTTTTCGAGACAGGGTTTCTCTGTGTAGTCCTGGCTGTCCTGGAACTCACTCTGTAGACCAGGCTAGCCTCGAACTCAGAAATCCGCCTGCCTCTGCCTCCCAAGTGCTGGGATTAAAGGCGTGCGCCACCACCGCCCGGCATGAGTGTATGTTTTAAGCAAAAGCAATTCACTCTTTTTTTCCTTATTTTGTGAATGATGCTCATGTGGCTAGTGCTGGATACTTGTAGCCAGAGCATAGTTTATTACTGCTAACAGGTCCGGGGTGGCTCAGGGCCTTTAAGAACCTTTAAGAGTATTCGCTTTCATCCTCTATTTCCATCTTCTGGAGTGAATAACAGATTATCTATTAGATTATGGGCTTCCTCTGGGAAGACATAGGGAAAACAGCAGGACTGGGCCAGTACACAGTGGTAGAAGCTTATCTCTTATGCATGATGCTGTAGGTTCAATCCCCAGTATTGAGCATTCCCTGTCAACAAAGGAACATAGACAGGGCTGTATTTTGTTTTACTCTCATTATATAGATGACTTTACTCAGTCCTGAAAAATATAAGTGCCTTTATTTAGAAGCTGACAGCAAGGGAGGTGGTCCTCCCCAGGGAAGAAGAGCACACCCATTGGTTGTCCAGGGCCACATAGTCAGCCCTGAAAACACACATTATGTGGACTGAGCAGCCTGTGTTTAGGAACATACAAGTATATGCATATATGCATGGAATAACAATTAGTGAAAAAAGAGGCCATGGATTTGAAGGAGAATCTACAGATGGCTACTGAGCGGCTCTCTGTATAGAGCTAGGTGTGTGTGCACACACGTTCATATTCGTCTCTTCCCACATTTCTTGTTGATTGGTATTTCCTATAGATTTTGGAAGCTAAGGCGAACAGGGACACACAGATATAGAACCTCAGCTGGCAGCAGAGCATAAAGGTTAGGAACATTGGAGCTAGGCTAGAGAACTTGTTTATTTTGAACCAATTTTACAATCAACTGGAAAAAAGTTGCTAAAACAGTAAATAATCTCTAAGTGTTCATCCATCTCCCCTTTGACATTCGGTCTTGTAAGCTCTGAGTGGAATGGAATGAACTTGTACAAACCTCAGAGTCCCCCATAGAAATGACACCATGCCCTCCCAGCTCAGACACTGAATGCTGTCTGTCCATTACCAAGGGGAGCTAGCCTCTCTCTGTTAAAGTACTGCCAGGTTTTCCACTACAAAGTTTCTAAAATTAAATGCTCACACAAATCCAGTTGCTTCTTTGACCTTTAGTATTAAATTTTAACATCTGACTGTGTGGAGCTAAGTTTAAGTAGAATTGTCTTTGGTAAGTTATTCCTGAAACACACTCTTGGATGGCAGGTGGGTTTTGTAGAATATAGTAAATGAACTAGTTGTTGAGTTTAATTTGGTGCTACAACTAAGAAATGAAGGGAAATGGGCACATTTAAAGTTTCATCTCCTGTTTTCATTGTTTTGTTTTAAGACAGTGTTTCTCTGTCTACTAGAAACTGGCCTCAGCCTACCTCAGCCTTCCCCAGTGCTGGGATTAAAGGCATATGCCACCAACTCTAATCCCTCATCTCATGTTTAATGGGTGTGCATGTTTGTGTGTGGTGGTGTCTTTCTCTGTTCTTCTACCTTATTTATCTAATTATTTTTGAGGTAAGGTCTCACTATGTAGCTGTGGCTGGCCTTGAACTCATGTATAGATTCTGGGGAATTAAGGTTGTCAGGCTTATGAAGCCAATGTGCGTGTGTGTGTGTGTGTGTGTGTGTGTGTGTGTGTGTGTGTGTGTGTATAATTTAGGTCATCGGATTTACATAGCAAACACAGCAGCTGAGCCATCTTGACAGCTCTAGATTTATCTTAAATTACTTTAATCTGAATAATTAAGTTAGTGTGGTTCAGTGGTTTCTCAGATCTTTTTGAGCCATGGACACTTTAGGAAATACTCTGGTAGCTTCTGGAACACTTTCCAGGGAACACCTACCTCACATGACTACCTGCAGTTCCTGCAGCCTGGGCCTGTTAGGTACGCATTGGTCCTCTGCTGCCCCCTACTGGTAGTGCATGCCCTGATGGTGCACACTGAACGGCAGAGATCGTTTCTAGTGTTACTTAGAGTTTTTGTCTTCCCCTGCAGGACTTATTGACTATAATTTCCACTGCTTCCGGAAGGCCATCCACGAAGTCTTTGAGGTGAGAATGAAGATGGTGAAATCTCGAAAGGCCCAGAGTCGGCTGCCCAAGAAGACAGGAGCTACTCCCAATGGAACCCCTAGAGTGCTGCTGTAGGGGAGCCGTTAGGAGCCTGAGTTCAGACCTCAGTGAGGAGGCTGCTAAACTATACTGCACTACAGGAGGGCTGGGACCCCGACTCAGATGTGTTAAGGAAAAAAAAACTTACACTTTCTAAAATAAGCACTTTGAAGCAAAAACCTGTATAATAACAGTGAGACCCACTGTACTGTCACTACATAAATGTAAACTACATAAATGTAAAAATAGAAAATCCCCTTGTGAGAACTGCCAGGAACTGTACATATTTTGCATTTTTTCATGTTTTTTTTTCCTCATTGAGGTGAACTTTGATAAGATGATTTTTCTAAACTCTTTTCCTGTACTTGGTGACAAGGACACACATACTGTAGTCCATATGGCAATTGGAAATTAATCCAATGTATTGCTAAAGACTTTTTGTGAATTTGGGACTCTTTGCTGCCAGTTGTCAAAGGGGAAATCATTTTTCAGTGGAGCAGCAACAGGTCAGGGCTGGAAGCTCCAGGCAAGAGCAATAAGAACTTCTCTATAAGAAGTAAACACAGGAATTTTGTAGCTGGACAGTGGTGGTGCATGCCTTTAATCCAAGCAGATAGATCTCTGTGAGTTTGCGGTCAGCCTGGTTTACATAGTGAATTCCAGGACAGACGGGGCTACACAGGGAAATCCTGTCACAAAACCAACCAACTTAAAAAAAAAAAAAAAAAAACCAGGAATTTTGCAGAAAAATATTACTTCCAAGCTTACCTACACGTTTGTATCCCTATGACCATGCCTTCCGAGTCACCCAGTTCTTTTTGAAATTCTTTACCTCAACACACACCTTTGGTAGTAGTCACCTTATGTATGCAGATGGGTGGTTTCTTTTTGGTGCATTATTCTAATGAACCTTTGGGACCAGATTTCTAAGATGATGCCAATCAGTGTAGAGAACTATGAATGTTGTTTGAGGAGATGGGGACAAGTACTGTTGATTTGTTAGGGGAAAAACTATAGAGGCACTACTGTACCTGCTGAAGAGGCTAAAACAACAGGCCAGGAGGGTTCCCAGATGCAGTCAGAGGCTGCTCAGACTAAAGATCATGTATACCTGCATGTGTTCGACTCCTTGTTCAGGACCAGTTTTTAATGATCCATGACCACAGAAGTGGAACAGAAGTTTCATCTTCATTGAGTTTAGTCCATGGTGGCTCCATTTGTTACCTGACTCTTTCATCTGTGACAACACACCTCACATCTTCTTCCTGTCCCTACCAAGATCAGCTTGTCACCAGCTTGCTCTGCAAGACAGAGGACATAGAAAGCCTATGGCCAGTAGGTAAAAGGTAGTCTAAAGAGGTGTGTCAGTTAGCTATGTGTGTGCCTTTTTTTTTTTTTTTTTTTTTTTTGATTGGTAGGGAACAGAGAGTCCTAAATCTAGCCCTATTTCAAACCATTCCAAGGGTTAGCACTGTCAGGTGTGCGTGGCATTAGAAAAGGTTCTCTTTAAAGCAGAGTCAGCTAGGGATGTTGAAGCTGGCTCTAGCTTTGTCTAAAGCAGCTTGTCCCCGAAGCTCACTTCTTTTAAGTGTCTTCTCCCCATCTTCTTGCTTCCCTTTCCCCAAATTCTTTATTGCTTGAGAGAGTGTATCTTATCTCTGTGTAGCCCTGGCTGTCCTGGAACTCATTATGTAGACCAGACTGTCCTTGAACTCAGAGATCCACCTGCCTCTGCTTCCCCCAGTGATCAAAGGTGAACACCACCATGTCTGGCCAGGTCTTAACTTAGACTTGTAAGCTAGTGGCTGAAACTGGAGACAGATGATTGAAATGTAAGATTTGTGCCTCCCAGTAGTCTGATTATTAAGGAGATTCTAGTACTCGTGATACCATGGCTACTTCCTTATGATTTCTGTGAAGAGAGAGGTGGTAGGAGCCTGGAGTTGTCCTTATGATTTACAGGGCTATTCCCTTAATTTACAGGGCTATTCCCTGACAGCCTCTGTCAACAGGCTGGATGGAGGTTGACTGCTTTTAAGAGTAACACCACCACCCCCCACCTCCTGCGCCCTGACAAAGACACCGAGAGTGAGAAGCACACTTTGCTTTTTTTGAGAGAGGGGGTCTGAGGTAACCCAGACTGGCCTCAGACTTGCCAAGTAGCCAAGGATGCTCTCCAGTTTCTGATCCTTCAGCCTCCGCTTTCTCTAAGTGCTGACATTATAGGAATGCACCACCATACTTGGCTTGAACCAGTGCTGAGAATTGAACCCAGTGCTTTTTGCATGTGAGGGCAAGAATTCTACCAAGCTAGTATCCTCTAGCTCGCTTTCTTAATAGCTTTTTTAATAAAGAATTTCTCTTGAATAGACAAAGAATTGAATTTTTAATAAGACTTTAGTTTTGAGATAAGACACTTGCTTGTCTGATAAACCACATAAAATTAGCATGTCTAACTGGCGCTTCCATTCTGAAGCTGGTTATAGAATGGGTTTTTTTGTTGAAATGTGCCTTAAAAGCCTATCACTTTAAGAGCATGTGATTCTCTGAGGATAGGCAAAAGTCCTGTGACGTAGGGCCCACGTTCCTGATCATAAACGCACTCTTTAGTCACAACCCTGATTACTGCCTCGAGCCTGGTGTGACAGTGACCTCTTGAAGATGTCTGAATGGTGAAGTTTCTGTCTGTGACTAGAATCGCAACATGTCTTCATATTTGTTTTGTATTTTATCTTAGATTTGGGAGTTAGCTTAATGAACTGTAGATCTGTGTTTATGCTCAAACGTAACTATAAACAGAAAGGTCAAACTCTTGACTACGGTGGCTTCAATAGAACATGTTTGTTTGGTTTTAGGAGTTGAGCACTTGAGGATTTATAGAACAGGCAGGCTTTTGCTCTTTGAATCAAGTATAACTTCTGTGTAAGAGTTGTACTGAATTACTGTCTTTAGTTAACTGTAATGATGGTTAACTGTGAATGACCTGTACGGAATGCTTTTGAAGGAGTAGAAGTAAAAACTGATTAATAGATACCAAGTGTTATTTTGCGAACATGATATATTTTGGGTCCTTAAATAGAAAACGACTAGAAATCACAGCAGTACTATTATGTATGGGTTATATGCCAACTGTGTCGGAAACAGAATTCATCAACTCAATGGAGCTGTCATGATTAAAGTACAGTATGCACTCAACAGACACAGGCTGTAGTTTGTAACCAAGCACACTGGTTTACTGTTGAGGACATTGTTTGTAACAATGATGTAACAGGGATGATAACTGCCAACTTGAAAGCATGTTTGTGTGCCCGTGGCTTGACGTACCCAGAGCTTAGTTTTCTGAGAGCAGAATGGTCTCTTGTTGAAATTTAAGATGATGTTTACTATATACATATCACTGTTTTATTGGTTATGTTAGGTCCATTTAATAAAAAGAGAAGTTTAAAAAAAAATCTTTTGATGTGGGGTCTCTTAATGTCACTCCAGCTGCTCTTGGATTTCTGGGCTCAACAGATCTTCCTGCCTCAGCTTCCCTGCAGCTGGGCCACAAGTTGGTACAACCACCCTTGACTGTTTAGCCAAATTTCTCTCCATTACTTAGTTCAAATTTATGCAAATGAAGATAAATCATTATGTAAACGGAACGCTTTTTTTTTGGAGATCTCAGTATATAGCCCTGGCTGGCCTCAGACTCGAAGCCTGCTTGCCTCTGCCTTCTGAGTTGTAGAACTAAAGGTGTGTCATAAGTTAGCTATGGAGGACCACGAGACTCAAGATGAGGTTGTTACTCTATACAGGGTGTTCCCAAAACCCATCTCCACCCAACCTAGAAGAGGGGACTTCTGCCGCTAGACCAAGCAGAGAGGGGCCACCCAGAACCCCCTCTGACTGGCAATCTGAATTCTTGCTTAGGCTGCGAGGCTAAGCACTGCAAGGGAATATAAATAAAAGATAAAAATATCTATCTGGGTTCCCTGAGGGACAAGCCTGACTGCATAGGGGTTGATGTCAAAAGTATCCCCTCTCCAGGAAAAAGACATCAGGACGGGTATGACCCTCATGCCTCACTGGACAGTGACAGGGGGACCAGAGCCATTACAATGTCCCCTTCAATTACTGGAAGTCAGGCCTCTATCCCCGCCTTCGCAAGATTAGTATTGCCACAGCCCTTCTATACTTAGAGAAGGGAAGAGATGTCAGGGGCAGCCCTGCTTACACACTGAAGGCCTAAAATCAGCCATAGGCCTAAAATCAGCAATAGGCCTGTCATACATGCATGCTAACACCAAGTCTTGTGTCTCTGTGGAAAAACATTGAAACAGATGGCTATAAGCTAATGTAAACAGGCAGCTTTCATGGAAATTTACCAGCTTGAGTAGTCTTAGACCTTGTAAATAGGTAGCCTTGGCAGACAAACCAACTTAGATAAGGACAAGTGACTCATTGGCAGAGTCATAGTGACCTGTCCCCTGAACCTTCACCCAGCCTATACCCTGTTCTGAAAGATATCTGTATTCCCCTTGAACACTCACGCTCCAGTGTCATCCCCTTCCCCACGTCCTGCCTTTCTGTGTTTATAACCCCTGTGTGAATGAATTACAATTTGAAAAAAAAAATAAATTATTAAAAAAAAAAAGAACTAAAGGTGTGTGCCATCATGCCCAGTTTTTATTATTTTTTAAATCCCATTTTTCTTTAGCATCAGTCACATTTAGGACCTTCCCACATGTATTTGGCAACTGTGTCAGCTCTTTTGAGCTGTTAGTACACAAGGCAGGTGCTGAGTCTGGACTTGGTCCTTTAATAAGGGAGTCACTCCGCTCCCCCTAACCCACAAAGCAGTGCAGCGAAGTGGCTCATCTGGAGAGATGAGCCTGTGTGTCTGTCTGTCTAGTGAGAAAGGGACTTACCTGGGGTTCAATGTGTAAGGAACAATCACCAGCTCACACAGTACTGCCTGACTTCACTGTCTAGGTCCTAAGCATCACCTAGGATGTTTAGTAATAGATTCCCATCCCTAACTCATGCTTCCTGAGTCAAAACCTGGGAAGTCATCTAGGGATCTATATTTTAAATATACTTGAGACCTTGTTTCCCTGTAGTTAAAGAGCTAGGGTGACCAGGCCAGTCCAGTCAGCCAACAGGTTCTCCAGTGCAGGAGCGAGGATTAAAAAGAAAAAAGAGATTAGACAACATTGCAGTATGACCCCAGGCAGTTCTGAGACTAGAGGTGAGTTTATTTTTTCCCAATCTGCTTTTATACCATTTTAATTACATGCAACTATTTAGGTCAGTTCTATGTTGAAGAACTAGCAATACAATAGATGCAAATAGTCAAAGGACAAGCAAGCCAATAAGCAAAGTCCTGTGATCACTCCCGTGATTACTGTTTCTAAGGGCTTATCAGGATGACCAAAATATTTGAGCCTACTTTCCTGTCCTAGCCCAAAGTCATATTCAATGCCTGAGACCTACTTCTTTGTTCTAACCTAAGATTTAGATTCCTGACTGAAATTACTTCCCAGTTTTAGCCTAAAATTAGATTCCTGCCTGAACTTACTTCCTTGTCATGGCCCAATGTCAGATTCCTGCCTAAAGCCCATTTCCTTGTCCTTGGCTACTGTCAGATTTCTGCCAAGCAGCCCCAAAAGCTCTCCACACTAGGGAGGGGAGATTGTTTTGCATAAGGATTATAACCACCCACGGAAGCATTCTTCAGTCTTCTATATGCTAATATATGCAGATCCACATACATATATTCATAAGTGTGTAAACATATATATATATACACGCACACACATGTTGTCTTCCAACTTGATTATGAGATTTGAAAAAGTATTTAACTCATTCTACGGAATCCAATGCTCTCTCCTGACTTCCATTGGCACTGCATGCATGTGGTGCATGTTCCTACGTGCAGAAATCCCAATAACCAAAAAACTATATTATTTAAAGTACCATTTAAAGTACACTGTTACACATGTGATATAAAGTCCATTTGAGTGATCAATTTATATTTTTAGATCTTTGCATTTATATGACAAAGTACATGTTTAAATAAATTTCCTCTTCCTCACACAACTTAAACTCTTCAATGTATGTACCTAGTGACTTCATCATCAGAATATTTTGAATGACTTAACAGTTTCTTGGTTGGTAAGATGGAACACACTTTAAATTGAATAGATTAGTGTTGGTGGAGTCTAGAGTTTGTTCTCCCTTCAGCTAGAGTGCTGGAATGACAGGTGTGCCACCATGCTTGACTTAGGATCCAGTTCTCTCTTGTGTTTCTCCTAATGCCAGAATCTACTCCAGGGTACTGTTACGCTAGCTAGGCAAGTGTCCTATTAAGTGACTCTCAGCCCAAAAGACTATTTTTCTATTTTCTCCAACATACTAGTGATCTTCACAAATAAGTTCTACTTTTTAACTCAACGATTACTCAAGAGCTTTCTAAAGATGACCACCATTGTGTGATTCCCACGGCCACACCCTCAGCAATGAGTAATCAACCATCTTTGCCTCTCAGCACCCATTGACTGAGGTGGGTGACTTTTATAACAGATAATTCCTACCATTTTAGGTCTTTAAAAACATCGTTTCCCTCAATAGTATTTTATTCAAAAACAACAGATTGAAAGACCAAAACTTCTACTTCCTCCTCGTTCACATATGGCATATACTGTTTACAACCGTCTACACCTAAACTCTACCTCAAGCATCTGAGGAAGCAAAATTGGTGCCAATATTTCCTCACAGGGCACCAGAGGGCAGATGGATTGTGACACCTCTGGGGCAATGAGTGCTAAGTGAGTCATGGGGAAGGCGGGATACTTCAGAAGTCCAGGATTAGCCTTGCCCATATTGTAAAGCTTCCAGGGAAAGCTACAGTGTTATCTGAGTGTGCTAAAGACTGGTAATTACAGCCTGAAATGCCAGGGGCACAGAATTACGCTCGGAAGTTCCATAATTCTGGTATGTGCTGACCTTTGTCTGCAGAGTGAAGAATGTGACGTGTATTTATGAACTATTTTTTTAAGTTTGTGGCTATTATAATGAGAAATAAAATAAAAATTTGCTTAAAAGTATTGAACTCAGTTATTTCCTGTTACTTTACGGTTTCCTAATGAGTAGGAACCAACCCAGCTCTGAGGAAGGGGCAGCAGTGATTTAAGTATTCAAGTTAGCGTGAAGACCACGGAGCCTCCTCAGTCAGTCAGCGGCTGGCTAGCTGGGACCAGAGGAGTAAGATTGGAGTGACAGGTCAGGACAGAAGAAAAGGGTACATGCAGAGTGGTAGAGGGACCCTGCATGAGGAGCTTCATCAGAAGGCAGAAGAAGACACAGAAGCACCCCAGCTGTCTGCAAGCACATCTGGACGCCTCTTCTCCCTGTCACAAAGGGCAGTTTTATCTCAGCTGCAGGTGTTTCCTTTACAGCCAAACTTAGAAGATGAGCGCATGCCTGCCAAACCCATCTTATGGTCCATCCGAATTGAGAGAAAGGAGGGTACAGATTGTAATCTTTTTTATTTAAAACAAAGTTTTTATTTTAAAAAACCCTAACAAATATTTCATTTAATTTAAAACATTTTTAGTTTTACTTATTTTATGTGTATGAGTATTTTGTCTGTCTGTCTGTCTGTCTGTCTGTCTGTCTGTCTTGTCTGTCTGTCTGTGACCACATGCTTCTCTGGTGCTCGCTGACATCAGAAAATGCTGTGGGATTCCTTCAACTGGGAGTTGCTGATGGTTGTGCTATATGGGTACTGAGAACTGAATCGCTGTTCTCTGCAATGACTGTAAGTGCTTGTAACTGCTGAGCCATCTCTCTAGCCCGTTACTAACAAAACAAAAAAACAAAACGAGATGGTACAGTCTGTGTAAATAAAGCAAAGCATGATTCTGAGCAGGGTCCTTCCATCATCCCTAATACTGTACTCCTGGGGGACAAGGGACGGGGAATGTCACATATATAGCTCACAACTATATTAGTAAACTGAGTCTCCCAGAAAATAAACCTTTAAGTGTGGTTAGGAGCACTGACTGCTTTTCTGAAGGACCAGGGTTCAAATCCCAGCACCCACACGGCAGCTCCCAATTGTAACTCCGAGATCTGACACCCTCACACAGACATACATGCATGCCAAACATCAATGTACATAAGATTGTGAAAAAAAGCCATAGGAAAAGTGATGATGTAAATGTTGATTTGCTATCATTTTATTTTTGCTTATTCATTGAGGAAAGAAAAAATATAGTGCCTGTCAAACACAGGGTGCCAGGGGTTCCTATTCTGGGTGCTTTGTTAGTGTCAATGCACTCACGTGGCGTCTCAGCCTAACACCTAACCACAGGGTATTAAAAATACACCCGGTCCAGTATTGTGCGCAGCACAGGGGCAGAAAACAAAGCACTTGTCTCTTCTGGATCTCTCTGCTGGCCAC